TAAAGTTTTGACGTAAAATGGAAATTACAGTCCAGAGATAGGATTTTTGAGATGGCAGGTTGTAATCTTGTGCTCATTTTTCAGGTATTATGTTCAAGCAAATACGGTAAGCCCAGTTGGGACTGTAGTACCTTTGATTTATTGCTTATTCAAGTTCTTCTCTCTTAGAGTGTAGCCAGAACAGTAGAGCAGAGTCCGTATTTAATTTTATTTATATGTTGCTCAACATTAAAAACCAGTCTGTCTTCTGTCTTTTGCAGAGATTAGTGTCTTCTTGGGTAGCGAGATGTTACAACAAGTTAAGCTTTATGACTGAGCTCTTACCTGAAGGTGATACACCTTTATTACAATTGCTCATGAACAGTGCCTTCACATAGGCAGTGTTTGTGTTCCATCTGCTCAGTGCATTTCAGAGTAGGTGCAGATAAATGTTACAGTTTTTAGTATAAAACTGTGATCAAATTTGGAGCACAGACTTTATGCAGATTTATTACTTTTTCTTAATGGGGAAGAAGTATAGGATGTGCAGCTGTGGTGGTGTTGTTTTTCTTTTTCTGTTAAACATAGCTGCACAGATTAGCAACAAAACAGTTTCCTTTGATGTGTTTATTCTGTATTGTACTGTCCTACATATGTATTGCAGCAGCTTGATTTTTTTTTTTAATAAATTCCTGTGCTGACGGGGGGAATGAGTTGCACTAGGCCCTTCTGGTCTTAGTTCCATATGTTAATCAGCCCATGTTTTTTGCTGCTGCTGCAAATCATGCTTAATGCTGGATCAAATCTCAGGGAAAAAAAGGGGCAGGTTGCATCAAGTGTCTGCAAAGAACCTGTCTGATCATACCCACCTAACCACCCTTGCCGTGCTCAAATACTGTATTGATTTTTAGATGATGGTCTCTAAGGAACTCCCTGACCACTGTCTTGCTTCCAGATCAGACTAGTGATCTGTAATACTAGGCAGTTTACGTAACGCAAGTAAAAGACACATTTTTTTGTGTTGTGCCAAGTTTAAAGGAGGTCACTGCTTATTTCTGTCTTCTGTTTCTTGTTCTAAATCTCTTCAGAACAAACTCACCAGAGCAAGCACACTTTTTTTTTTTTTTCATTGCATCCCTTTCCTCCTCCTGGCTTTTCAAAATTGTCCTAGAATGACTTGTATGTTTCTGAAAACTTCTGTTTTGCCTCATTTGGATATCATGATTTGATTACATTTTGCATGCATTACCGTCAGGATTTTCATCTTATTTGAGTGGTTCTAAGAAGGAAAGAGAGTAAATTATCTTGCTATGCTTGTTTCTTTCTCTCTGGTCTGATAGGACAGGTTATGAACTTACACATTCTTGTTTTATATAGCCTGTTCTCAGACACTTTCTAGACTATGTCTTGAAATTAATTCTAAGTAGATGAATTCTAACTAGATCAGATTTCAGGAAGGATTACTAAGATAATCATGTGAATGCCAAGGTTATCACAGGAGAAGGAAAATGAAAAGAAGTTGGTTTGCTTAGCTTAGGAAGTGATATGATTGCTCACTCTAAATATAATGTGTGGTAAACATGAGAGGGAGAAATACCAAAGCCACATTGCATTGCTGACAGAAGAACAAGGGGGAGAAACTGTCCAATTAATAAAGTCCTCTTGTAAATTGAAAGGATTTTTCTCATCATCTGGGCAATGAGCAGTCTTCCAAAGAGGGGATAACTGCCAGGAAACAGTGACTTTAAGATGGAGTTTATATATATATGAGACTTTCTGGGACAGCAATTCAGAGGAGATGACCCACAAGGTCTTTTCCAGTCCTGTTCAGGCTCCTTTGTGAAGTTTATCATTCTAAATTCCTGTATGTGATTATGCTGTTCTCCAGGAAATTTTTGTGTAGTGCCATCCTTGGTCATGCCATCTTTATTTCTGCTTGGTTGCAAAAATATCTCCTTAGGGACATGTTGCGCTTGTTTTTTCTGCATATTTTACATATTTACAAACTTTAGCTTGGTCTACTAAAGCTGCATTTCTGCAAATACTGATGGCAGTCGCTAAACCTGCCTGGTGTTGGTCGATATGAAAAGCCTCTACTTCCTTATGTCTAAGAAAATACTCTGAAGCAGTAGTGCTGGGATCAGATTGAGTGCTTCATATAGGATTTAATCAGAACGTAATTGAATTTTAAGAGGGAGAGGATGTTGGTGGTTTGAGGTTAATTGCTTTAGCCCTGCAGCCTGAATTCTTTATCTAGCTGACTTAGCATATTAAAGATCTAAAGAAGGATTTGAGGATTGGCAAGCCAAAGAACTACATTGAAGGGATCTTGCAATTCACCTTCCTGCATGCCTAACACCCATTCAGTCTGTGGCTATTCTAAAGAAGCACGCTTAGAAAAATGCTGTCTGCCAATGCAGTTCTTTTGCAGATATTCTCCTGTCTGAACTAGCAAATTTCCTCTATAGCTGTGAACACATGGTTTCAGAGGCTCACAGGTATGTTGTGCAGCAGCTTCACTTAATCACCTGGATTACAGAACATAGCCTAGAAGAAGCAGTGGTGAAAGTGACCGGTGTAACCAGAACAAACAGCCACACCAGAAAATCAGAATGAAGTTCAGCATCAGTCTGGACTCTGTTTAGTGTGTGGTCTTGTCTGTACTAGACCTGCTTCAGGATTATATTTCTGTATGCCATGCAGTCCTTTTTTATTAGTGTTTCACTTACACTTACATCTTCATAGTTCTAGTTTAGTTCAGGACTCAGTGGTCTTACGGTGAGGACGGAGCAGTTTACCAAAGCAACTCCACTGACCCGTGGACATGAAGCCTGTGATAGACGAGGAGGTGATAGCATTGGGAGGGAAGGCAACAGCCTGTGTACTTTCTAGGTAAATCCACCTCTGCGGCTAACGGGATTGCTAAAACAATCCTTGTGTTGATGAGGCTTTGCAAGCCAGCCTACTGGAGCCAGTAACTGTGTGCTGTGAGCACACAGCATTCCAATCAGTTCATGCTTTCTTGATGCTTTTGTCTTATAACTACGCCTAATAAGGGAGATATTCCGTTCAAACAAGAGGCTCCATCAGAAATTATCCTATTCTGCTATTGCTTATTTAGTTACCAGGTAAATCTGTTTAATCTGGTTTGTCCTGTCCTGCAAATGTATTTCAGCTCAGTTTTATTTGTGTTCTTCCTGACTTCCATTTTTTGTGCAGTTATTTTTGGGTTTGGGTTTTGGTTTTTTTTTGTGCAAGTGGAAAAGCCAGTGATTGCCTTTTTGAGCTTCTGAAATTAGGTAGTACTGGTGAGTTTGAGAACTGGCTTGTACACCTTCCAATAGCCTATGAGCTTCTGGTCTACTGCATTTCAAATAACACCAATTTAGCAGAGTCCGTCATGCGTAGTGTAGAGGAAACATGACAACCTATATTTGACAGCCTACATTCCAGGACTTTGCGTTCTTTAACATCATGTTCCTAACACTTGTGTTACAAGCATTAGGAAAGCCATGCATTAGCTTTAGCTGCAAAAAAATGCTGCTTCTTCCTGTGAGCAACCTTATAGCACAATTTTTCAACACTGTTTCAGAAACCCTTTGTTAAACCCAGCTCAGATTAAGTCCTAGCCAGAGGTGTTGGAGGCAGCACTGACCATGATTTGACCTGCATACTGCTTCTTGTTAAATCGTATGTTGTTGCATGGGTGACTTCATCCATAAACAGCAGTGAGCATAAAAGCACAGCGAGGGTTGTGATGGCATAGTGCAGGCTAGAGGCCATACACAGGGATCCTGGCATCCAGTCTGATAGCATGGAGTTGAAATGAACCGTATCTTTAATTGCAGTGCTCCAAACCTCAAAGCAATGGACAGTATTTGTCCCTGTCCACTGTGTTCAGCTTGCTCTATGCTGTATTGATTTTTCTTTCCTGTGCATGCTTTACTGCAAAAGCTTTTGCAGTCAAGGACTTTAAAAAACCTTTTCTTGCTTTGCAAACAAAAAGAGAGAAAATTGGGGTCTACAGAAGAATCAATAATGAATATGGCTATAAAAAGGCAAAACACGACTGACTGAACAGTAGAAAGACCTTAGGAAGATTTCAAATGCCGCAAAAGTAAAAAAAAAAAAACCAGCAACCTATCCTGCTTAAGTATAATGATCTCTTTCTGATGCGTTCTGTGTTGGATTTTGGCACTCTGCTTTAGGTTTGGAAACACCTTGGGTGATGGCTGATTAGTTTAAAAGTCCTGGGAAAATGTCCCAGTACATGCAGTTTCTTCTGTCTCTTTCTCACCCATGATTGTGATAACCAAGGTGGAGTCAAAGCATGTTTGTAGAATGCAGTTTTTCTATCTTGGGTGTGCCCAGCTCTGCCTTGATTTTGTCAACATTGTCATATAAAGGCAGCATGCACTGCTTTATAAAGTGCCTAATTACAACTTTCTGTTTGTAGCTTTGGTCTGCAATAGTCAGACTAGCTCCTTTCTGTCACTGTCTTCAACAGACTGCTTGCCTGGAATCACTGGGAAATTATTTTAGGGTTCCCCTGCAACATTAGACTGTGTATCACCCCAACTTGGAACAGATTTCTTTTTGCAACCTCACAGGTTCTTGTAATAAATATCCATACGTTACTTGCTCTCAGTTACTTACTGAAATAAATTCCCACTATAAGCTTCTTTAATTAAAAGAGAAGTTCTCTTCTTTCCTATAATAATGTATTTTATTACCTCCTTTGGACTGCAGAACAGGTGTGTCTAATGGATTAACTACGGTAGAGTTAAATCCACTGGATTTTCCGCTCCCTGTGGATGTGTGGGGTATTATGGGAGCACAGCTTTAGTTTGAATATCCACTACAGCTTGGCTGCTTGCAGAATGCTGAATGATATTCTCCTAGACGTCAAAACTCAAGCTCTAGCAATTGTCTGTTTATTCAAGTGAAAAATTTAGTTACCTGCTTTTTGTTCTCACTGTTTTCTTTGAAGGTTTAAAGAATTACCTGCGAAGCCCATCAAAAGAGCAAATCACCTTCCACAGCACCAAGGGTTTGCAATGCATCTCACCCTTAATGCAGACGGTAGAGGAGACCCCTCAGCCCATCCCAGCGAAGATCAAAGGACATATTCCCAAATGGATTAAAGGCAATCTTCTGAGGAATGGTCCTGGGAAGTTTGAGTTTGGTGAGGAGAAGTAAGTCCAGGTTTGGTGAGTTTGTCAAATGATTGTGGTGTGAGCTTTGCCTAAATCTAAAGGGGACCCCCCAAATGTCTCACCACTGTTCGGAGCAACTTGTAGTTTCTTTTTAAGTAAGGCAAGGAAGAAATGCTTATGTTACCATTCTTTTAAGAACAGTTGCTCCCTCATCTGGAAACTCTCAGTGGGCTCTCTGAAAATAGGAGCATGGTTAACTTATTAAGGTTGGAGAAGCTGAGTCACAGAGAGGCTGTGACCTACTCAGAACGATATAATGAGGGAACAGAGCCAGGGATTAAAACATCCACACTCCTAGTCCTTTGTCATTAACAAAAGTCCATCCCATGAGCACTCTGGAATCTGGGGCAGGATTTGTAAAGTTGATTACACTAAATGGTGTGAGTTGCTTTAGAAGCAAATTAATCTCATTTTAAAAATAATGTATTAAAATATTTCAAGAAGGCAACTACTGCCTTTGGCTTGGAATCTGCCATTCTAGCTAACTGACAAACCTTGCTCTTCCTCCAACAAAGCTGCTGGCAGCAACTGGCCAAAGGAGATCATGTTATCATATTTCCAGAGATAGACTGTAAGTTTTTCTCAAAGTCTCAGAAATTTCTTGTTTTGGAGAGAAAAGCATCCTGCAAACAGCTGAGAGGTAAAGGCTCCTTCACGTGTCGTTGGGCTTTCAGTAATAATTTCTATTCTTGTTGTGCAGTAAAGCACAATTTCTATTCCATTTGCAGAAGTCTGCAAGTGATTGGTTTACCAGTATAGAATATTTCCCCCCCAAACTTATATATAGCATTTTCAGAAGTCCCTGAGGTCCACTTTCAAATGTAATATAGGGAGCCTAAATCTCACTGCAAGTCAGCATCTAACTTCACATCCCACAGCTGCAAATACTCTGGATTTATTTCACTCAATTCAGATGTTTTCCCAGACTCATCACAAGGCTATGCATGTTTAAGTGTTCATGGGATTTGGGCATTAGCTTTTTACAAACAATGATAAACCTAAAGGTGAGGGAACAGTATAGGAGAACATCATATAGTGCCCAACTCTTGTTCTCTCATTTATCTCTTCTTGAAGATTTAACCATTGGTTTGATGGCATGGCCCTGTTGCACCAATTCCAGTTGGAGAACGGCACAGTGACATACCGGAGCAAGTTTCTGCAGAGCAGTTCCTACCTGACTAACAGCCAGCACAACCGCATCGTGGTCTCAGAATTTGGGACACTGGCAATGCCAGACCCATGCAAGAGTGTCTTTGGGCGCTTCATGTCACGCTTTGAGATGCCACGTAAGAGGGTTTCTAAGAAATAAGAAATGTTCTGAGGTTTTCTCGGGAAACTTGTGGTTAGGTTTAAAGGGAGATGTGAGGAGGTTTGGCAGGCCTATTCTGAGCCCATGTTTTTCTTAGAAGATGACCCCTTGGAACAACAAGAACAAAAAAAATGCAAGTTGTTGTTAGACTTAGCTGGGAGAGGCATATTCAGTTTAGTGTTTTAGCTTCAGCTCACTCAATTCCAGAATTTGTTGCAAATTTCCAACAGAAATCTTTTCCCAAAGAACACCCTGTGCAGTCCTGATAATGAGCATTACAATCTGCCATTCTACCTGAGACACAGCTTTGCCCTTAAACACCTTGCCTTGCTAAGCTTGTAAAGTAAGTGGGCTAATCCTTCCCTTCCTGTACTAAGGTGCAGGAGATTGATATGAGTAGGGTGAGAGATGGTATTGCACAGGAATGGAAGTACCATTACCTATAGGGTTCTGTGTATGTCAGGAAAGAAATAGGCTTAAATACAAGCCAAGTACTTTCCACTAAAACCAGAACAGACCTAAAGTTTGCAACCTGTTGCTCATGTGTGTGACCATCTTCTGCTTCTTATCTTCCCCAAGGAGATGGATCCTGTCCTGCCCATGGCATCTGTTCTCTTCAAAGGTCCTCATACCTTCACTCACTGTTTTCCAAGCTCCCCAACACCTCACCCCACCCCAGCTCTCCCAATAAATTCCAGAACTATCTACACCCCTCATCTTCTTTTCCAAGCTCCAGCAAGTTGCTCCTGCACAGGCTTGCCTATTTGACTCTTTACACACATGTAGGCTATTCCTCACTACAAGAAGGCCTGTCCTCTGGGCTTTTCCTGTACCAACTTCAGGCTCTGTGTTCACCACACACACAGTGTTCAACTGGGGGAATCGCTTTTTCCTCAGCTTTTCTCAGCCACCTGGCTAGTTAGTGAGTCTCAGCTCCCATAGTAGAGGCAGGAACAGCTCTGGCTGTTGTGCACATGTAGCTCTCAGAAGGTGTCTCCCTGAGTCAGTTTTAAAGAGAAAGAGAATAGGGAAGAAGAAGCATTCCCTGTCCAAGCCCTGTCACACCAATAGCATCCCTGCTCTCCCCTCAGCCCAAGTTGTAGCTTCAAGTCTTGCATCTCTTGTTTCTACTGTTGTAAATCAAACATGGCACTCTTCATATGGCTGTCAGAGGAGAGGAGTTTGGCTAGGGAGGAAAGGGAGAGGGATATGAAGAAATAAGAGGTCAGAAACAAAGGGCGTATGGAAGTATGAAGATTATCTTCGCTCAGGGCAGTGATTTCCACAAGAACCACACCTTGTCCTTTTATCCTGAACTCACCAGTGTAGACAGTTTCCTGAGTGCCTCTGTGGATTAGTGAGACATTTCTAATCAATCAAAGAGGGATTAGTGTCATTGCAAATGGGTTTATTTGTTTAAACATGTCTAACTTGCTATAATGTGACATGAGCTTAAACAGAGCTGTGTACAACTCCAGGATTTCGTTTCAGAACCAAGTGACAATGCCAGTGTGAACTACGTTGTGTATAAAGGAGACTACTATGTCAGCAACGAGAACATCTTCATGTACAAAGTGGACCCAGAAACGCTTGAAACGAAGGAAAAGGTGTGGGCAGGTGGGATAAGGGGTTAGCTTATGGTACAGGAGAATCACTTCTTGCTGTTTATAAGAGCAGCAAGGGGGAACCCAGATTCCAAAAGAAATTATCAGTGCAGCTCTGGGCCATAGCCATAAGCATCTCTTCATGGTGTGCTCGAGTCCCTGAAAAATCTACTTAGCAATATGGCAGCTCTCATGAGTGAAGATTGAGTCACTGCCCACTGTAGCAAGCAAGGGGAGAGACAGACACAGACACATTTCCGTTTGGGTACAGCTGGCATTCTTCCAGTGCACTCACTACTTGTCTGGACTTGTCTATACCTAACAGTGTGTGAAGAAAAAAAGTGTGTACAGGAAGAAGTTAACATCACTGATCTCAGATCTGTATTCTTGCCCTGTCTCTTCATTCTTCCTATCTGTTCCCTTTATCTCCTTCTTACATCCCCGTCTTTAAACACCCCAAAACAGCCCTTCAAAATCTTGACTAAAGCCTCTGTTGTTAATGGGTGGTGAAGTCAATGTAAATTCAAGTCAATATTTAGCTGCCACTTTATTTTCTCCCATGCTAGCAAATGAAGAGAAAGTCAGAGTAGAAGTCTTCCCATATGTTCTGTGCACCATCTCACAGGAGTGTGGCTGTATTTCAGGCAAGAATAAGACTTGCTTAAGCATAAGCTGTATGTCCCCCTGCCTGCACCCTTAGAGGGGACTTGGGTATTTGCTGGGCTGGACAACTGTGAGGACTGAGGAAGGATTCTGCCATTCCTGAGTCAGTATTAACTACTGTACCTGTATGATACTATGGACTATTTAATACCAGAAGTACCAGGCTCGGCACATGCTCAGATCTCAAGGGAGGCATTCCAGGATTCCCTCCCTCCCTGCAGGAGCAGTGGTGTGTCATGAAGAAACTCTGTTTATGAAGTATAGCATGCTACTTGTATATTGAAATGGAGAGTTTGACAATTTGCTACTTTCTATCTGTTTTGTAAACTGTAATGCATGGATATTTTTAGTTGTAATGTTCAGCTCTGTTGAGCCATCTTGCATTAAAAAAAAAATTTCCCTTAAGCTGCTTTTTAGATGCAGACTGGCATTTTTTGGCTAAGTGAAGAAATGGAAGGGATGATTTCACATCTAAACTCTCCAATTTGAGATGCCTTAAAAGGGCATGGTTTTCTAAGCTTCCGGTGGTGTGGCACTCTTTTGTACTGGGGCCTTCCAAAGGGTTTCAGGTTGGATACCTGAAAGCCATTTTTAAAAACTTTTCCAAAAGAAGCGTATCTTCCATGCTTTAATGTTTCAATGCATGGATTGATCTTCCTCCAACTTTTTCCTTCAGACTTTCTTCCCAACACATCCCCTCCACTGTCTGAGCCCAAATCACACCCTAACCCAGGTACTAGGAACGCGTGTTAACAGTACTTACAATGGTACCTTTGCCCCAACTGTTCCTTCTAGCTGTAGACAGTGAAGCCAAACTGTTTTCTCTGTGAGGAGAGTAAACACTCATTGTCAATTTGCTATGGGTGTTTTCAAAAAGCGTGGTGATTTTTTGGGGCAGTGACTGTTTCTTTGCGCATGTCTGTCTGTGTTTATTACATGGGGTCCTAACTAAAATGTTCATATGGGCAACATCCCACTGCATCAGCACTTCCTGTCGTTAGTAATGTTCATGTCTCCCAGAGGAATGGCTAGTGCTATTAGTACCATTTTACTGGTAGGGCTAACACAGAGAGAAACACCATTAACTTTCAAGGATTTCAGGAATATTGCTGGCAAAATGAAGGCTTAAGTCCGGATCCCACATTAGGGTTGTAATCATCAAGCTGTTCTTCCTCAAACTTTCACAAACCCAACATTTAGAAAGACTGTGGCTTGCTACAGAGCAACAGGAAACTTCTATGCTGACCAAAAATCTTTGACATTTGCAGGTAGACTGGAGCAAATTTATTGCAGTGAATGGGGCCACTGCTCATCCTCATTATGAGCCTGATGGGACAACATATAACATGGGCAATTCCTATGGGAAACACGGTAAGACTGCGCATGAACAGGCCAGGCTTGTGGGCCCGGTGTACAGGCTGCTTCTTGCTGCTGTTTCAAGGAGCAGTTGTTGAAGAAACTTCAGTGTCTAAAGAGACCTTGAAATTACCGTTTCTGTTTGTGTCAAAATGATGGCAAACCAGATTAGTTCTTATTTCAGGGTGTCAGTCTGTCCCACAAAAATGGCTTCTCTCAGCAATTAGTTTCAGACGCTTTGACTTTGGCCTGTGAGTATCCAACAGATTCCCCTTTTCCTCTCCCCAGCTTTGATGGAAAACAGGAGAATGATTTTTAAAGTCCCATCCAGCATTGAAGTCTCATCCAAAGAGTTTTGACAATCAGCCACATGCTTTCAACTTACAATAACTGGCTTTTGATAAGGACCATAAGGGTCTATACAGGAGAGAAGGTGGAATATATTACAGTGACCTGGCTATCTTACAGCAAAACTGAATTTTCTGGGATATTTTTCTTCTTTCCAAAACTATGAGCATTACATCTAGTTGGGATCTAGTTACATCAGTGTGGCTGCTCAGAGCTAGCATTCACCGTTAGTTACCTGAAAGACTTGTTTTTCAGGTGCCTGAGGCCTGTGAGAACAGCCACTGCCCTTTATTACGATACCTCAGGCTGGTTCCAGTTCACTGAACAGTTGCCCGGTTTTGATCATTTTTCATTCTTGTTGTTTTCATTTCCTTTTGGCTTTAGCAATGTCTAGCTTTGCAGCATGTGCTGTTTTCATCTTGGAGAGACCAAACTATAGATTATTATTCAAATGTGCCATTCCTTCCTGCCCACATGTCCAGATTTATTAAATGAGTGTTATTCATCACCAAGACTCAAAGTTTTAATTTCCTTTTATACACAAGCTATGAACTTGGTTTTCTTCCTGATCCTGTTATTATAGGATGCTCTAAGTTAACATGAGGAATTCATTGCAGACAGTAAAATTAGATGGCAGTCTACCAGGCTGAAAACATCCTTCTACTTCCTTTCAAGCTTTTCTTGCTAGATAATCCTCTGTTGATTGTTTTATTGACTTGATAACTGCCTTTTTGTTTTCTGCTCAGTTTAGCTATGACTGTGGTTCCTAGTATTCTAGGGAAACAGAAAGGAACAGAGCCTCACTTTGGTTTCATGAATGTGGGCAGTCTCACATCTCCGTGGTGTTGAACACCCTTTCTCCTTTCCAGGGTCCAGGTATAATATAATTCATGTCCCTCCACAAAAGTCAAACTGTAGCGACACGTTAGAGGGAGCGAAAGTGTTGTGCTCCATTGCTCCAATGGATAAGATGAAACCCTCCTACTATCACAGCTTTGGTAAGAATGCTTTCTATCTCAACTCTGTGGATTTAGCCTACTGTGAGGCAGAAAGGGCTGTTCACTGCCCTCTGCCCCTGAGATTTTTTATCATCTCATTTGCCTAATACTTGGATGATATCTCCTTCCTTCTCTTTTCAGGAATGAGTGAAAACTACATTATTTTCATTGAGCAACCCATCAAGCTGAATCTGTTGCAGATTATCACATCCAAACTCCGTGGAAAGGCCATTTCTGAAGGGATAAGCTGGGAGCCTCAGTACAATACTTGCTTCCATGTGGTGAATAAGCACACTGGAGAGGTAGGTGGATCTTTGGCCTTTCCAGCAGCTGTGCAGCTGTGGCTGGAATCTTAGATCCCAAGAGAAGCGTGGTGGTTCTCAGATAGCCGTATGAGTCAGTCCAGAAGTTAGTACAATATAGGCTTTATAAGCATGGGTGTAGGTTTATTAGAAATGGGATTACTTCATGCATTTTCCTCTCTATTGATTAATTTATTTGCAAGCCCTAAAAGAACAGGCAGAAACAAGTAGTTTGGGGTTCCCAGGACTGCAGCACATGGACTGAATTGAAGTTCCCAAGTACCACAGAGTACAAAAAGGTCAGTCATAGCCTGGGAACGATGCTGTAGGGATGGAGTGATGACAGCAAGGGGCCTATCCTGGGCTGCTTCAGATTTTGGCTTTCCTTCATCTGGTTTTGCCTACTTACTTGCTTAAAGCAGCCATTCTGTAGTAATGCAAGGGCACAAGACAAACACAGAGGAATGAGTGGGGAATGAAATGGGGCAGAGAAGAGGAAATGCTCTGAGGTGTGGCTAGGATCTCTAGAGAGGAAATTTAGCCTCTGTTATGGTCACTGTAGGTGCTGCCAGGGCAGTGGTACAGTAAGCCCTTTGCTACTTTTCATCAAATCAATGCCTTTGAAGATCATGGCTGTGTGGTCCTTGATCTGTGCTGCCAGGATGATGGAACAACTCTGGCTACTTACAAACTTCAGAATCTGCGGAGGAGTGGGAAAGGTTTAGATCAGGTAAGATCTCTGCATTTGTGTTACATAGGATCTGATGGAGGCCCATGCTGTTTGAGTCACTTTTCTAAAGCAAGGTTCAGGTTAGCAGAATGGAGAACACTATGGGGAACCACAAGGAGGAGGATGTGAACTGCAGAAAGGAATCACAACTGTATGGAAAAACTAAAATTGTGATCTATTGGTATGTTGGTATTTTTCTTTCCTTTTAAATCTCTTAGCAGACAATCTCCATGGACTGTTCCCTCGAAACTTTTAAAACTGGTGTCTGACACAGATCTCCATCAGCCTGGCAGAATGTACTTCTGTTTTAAAATCTTAGTTTTAATGATACTCATTTTCCATATCCCTGTGTAATAATTTTTTTTCCCCCAAGAAAGTGCGCAAAAAAAGTTTTTGCATGACTTTTAAAGGGCAAAAGGAAAAGAAACCCTGTTGTTTAAAGGCATTACTTCAGAAAACCACTCTTTATTATGCAAATCAGAAACACAAACATCACAGAAACACTTACATTGTTCCTCACATTCACCTCACAACAGCATGTACTCATAAATCACTTATGTCCAGCTCTGTCAAAAGCACTAGTTAAAGCCATATAAGAGGCATTATTTTGCATAGGTAGGCCACTGGAAAAGTGGGGGTGCTTTCAGTTTCTTGTATTGCAGATGTGTTTATTGGAAACCCACCGTAGTGTGGGTGAAGGGCAGGCATTTCTACAACATGTTCAGACAAATCTGAACTTCCTCTGTCTGTGTTCTGAGCTGTCTAGAAGCAAGTCAAGTCTGATCTGAAAAGTGTATAGTTGTGTCCCCATGAGGTCATTTTGTTCTGCTTTCCTTTGCCGTTTTTTTGCAAACATGTGGTGAACATTAATTCAAGTATAGCCTAGTGTTAATATGGCCATTTGCTTTGCAAACTGATTCCAGCTTTTGTTCAGCCTTCTCTGAGAACAAAAGAAATACAGTTTGATCTGTCTGACGGTGTCCTAATGTCAACATTAGGCATGTGTTTCCAACACCCACGTTCTTTAACTGACAAGTAGCATAGCCATTAAACTGTATATAGACACACGAGTGCAAGTCATTTCAGAACAGAATCTTCAATTTACGCTTCACTGAAAGACTAAGGCATGCCTGAGCATGATTTGTCTGTTTTCCCCAAATCATGCTTAGTGCTTTTGCTTGCTGAATCAACTGTATTTTCTTCTGCCAGAATTCCTCAACCAACCAGTCTACTGTGGCTACATAAAACATAAAAGCTTTGAAAATAAGGTTTCAAAATGAACACATATGTTTAAAGTGAAGTTTCACATTGAACTGGTGAGTTACAGATTGAAGTAACTGAAAAACACCAAAACAGGGACCTTGCCACCTATTTTACTTAGAAGGCTTAACATCTGGAAGTATTATGGGTTCTAAACTTTGCTTGAACAGCACAATGGTGGAGTTATTCCTCTCATGCAACCCACTGAATGTCTGCCATACTGGGGGCTGCTAGTTTACTCTCCCCTTTGCTCCCCAAGTAAATCCACCACGACCCCAGACTTCCCAAACATGAAGTCCATGTGTACCTGAGCATGGAAGAGGAAAATCATGCAGGCTAACTTCAGGCATTGAACTGAGGTACAGTAGTCTCCTTCTGATCATCCAGGGCAGAGGGACATTCCTCCAGAGACTGATGTAGTGCGTTTTGTCAGATTTTTCCAGTCATCCTCTGGACAAGACCCTCCTTCCATTAATTTCACAGAGAGCCAACTTTTATGCTCCGAGATTAACAGCAAGCAGTGTGGTCGGTGTCTGTATCATGCTGTCATCCCACAAAGTTCTGAGACAGTCTACAATCAAGCCGTTTTTCTTCTGAAGCTTTGTAACTGCATGCAGCTTATAGAGTTCTTCCATGCACGGTTCATATGATTTAGAATAATGTGGAAGTTTCTCAGTGCTTTGCTCAGCCTCAGGCTTCCAAAGCGGGACTGCTGCTAATCACCAGTGGGGCTGTAGAGGGTGGGTTTCCAGCAGGGCTATCGCCTCTGCTTGCTCAGTGCTACGGAGGTCCCATTTTCTGCAATCCCCCTATTAGCTCATGATCTTGGTTGGGCAAGAAGGGCTGAAGTCACACAGTCAGTGAGGCATATGTGGACAGGCTGTAAAAAGGATCGGCATAAGTCTGTTCTAACTGAATAGAATACAGTGCAGCATATGTCCCAATGCTTCATTTGGAGGATAACCGAGTGATTTGCATAAACAACTTAGCATCAATTACTGTGAAAGCAATGCTGACCTATTTAATTGGTTGTCTGTAAAGCAGAGCCCTTATCAGAACTTGGTAAAGCACATGATAGAAGGAAGAAGCGGTGGGAGGAATGTCTAAAACTTCAGAATTGTTGCCAAAAAGGGCAGTTAGCCTGAAATGCCACTCTCCTCTCTCCATCACCATAACTTTCTGTCTCTGTAATAGATTTATGACTCAATATCCCGAGCTTTCCCTCGTCGCTTTGTTCTCCCACTGAATGTGAATTCAGACACACCTGTGGGGAAGAATCTGAACCCGCTGTCTTATACAATGGCAAGGGCCGTGAAAGATGCAGATGGCAAGGTATGTATTAAAGACTTACATAACCACATTTATGGTTGTGGTGAGATTGCCTGTAACAGTTATCACCCTGTGCTACTATCTTCTCAGATCTTGTCCACCAAGCAAGCAAGCAAGGTTTGGTAATTACTAAGATGGGACCTAGTGTTTTAGTACAAAGACGTTGCCTTAAATGAGAGAGCAAAGACAGATCGTAACTTACCAAAAATGCCCGAGTGGAATATGAGCCTTTACGATAATTGGCCAAACTTCAGCTTCTTCTTCATTGACAAAATCCTCCATGCTTTCACCTGGGCACAGAACTGCTCTTTGCTCCTGGCTCTGAACAGCCCTACAGAGTGGCATTTGGTGGTAGAGAACACATGTTGTCCACTACGAGTGGAGTCATCTCTGTGTGTACTTTGTACATCAGATTGACAAGTGCTGGACCTGGGATTTTGTGAACTAGGAGTGCAGGACTACATGAACTTGCTTCTGGTTTTCACATTAGACTGATCCTTGAAGTTTCCAAGGTCTGTGATGAAGAGTCAGTTCTTTGAGTAAAACAGATAAGGGAGATGGAATTGGTGCTTCCGCCTGCCTCAGTGCAATGTCAAGCTCATCTCTGAACATGTCTTCTCCACAACGGTTGTGCAGTGGGTTGGTAGAACCAGTTGGGTCTTCTGCCCAGTCAAAGCTAAACTGACACTCGTGTAATGCATACTTCTTCTAGGTCTGGTGCACACATGAAAATCTCCACCCTGAGGGCTTTGAAAAGGTTGGGGGCTTGGAGTTCCCCCAGATCAACTACTCTCAGTACAATGGTAGGAGGTACCGTTATTTTTATGGATGTGGTTTTCGACATTTGGTTGGAGATTCCTTGATCAAGGTTGATGTGGAGACCAAGAATTTCAAGGTGAGATGAAGTGAGATTATCTTTTTTCAGCAATGGGAGTCATTCCATTGAACTGGCCTTGAAGATTTTTTACTAGGCACTTTACTCTTTAGGGGTCTTTGTTCAAATGTGTCTGAGATGAGATTCCTAATTTCATCTCTCACCTAGTACCTTATGAATATGGCACACTTGCCAAACAGGAAGAGAAGATGTAACTGCAGGTTCCTAGATAGATGATGGAACAGAAAAGGTTGGATAAAGCATGCATGTGTCTTCCAGGCCAAGGAAGAGTCATCTCTTACCAGACAGTATAGAAAATACCTAAGTAGCACAGGAAGTTGGAGATAAACTGCCAAAATATTTATGACTCAGACAAGAAACAAAGTTTAGGATATTTTCAACTGCAAACACTAGCTGGGATTTTTCCTGTGTCTCCCTTAAAGAGAGAATAATGATCTCCAAAGTGTTAAACGCTTATTGATCAGAGACTTTCCTGGAGGCTAGAGAGAGTTAGGAATTCTCAGAGCGAGGCACCCATTTTAATTGTTCTGTGCCAGGTACTCATTTTGCAGTAAGAATGCCCTCCTCCAGCACAGCTTTGGGGTGCTATGGCTCTGGCTGCAATAAGAACAGCAGCTATGCCCTCAGGTGGTGTTGGTGATACATCTCCTCTCTGCCTCATGGCACCTCTCTCTCCACATTGCCCGGGCACAAGGTGGTCTGCTGTAGGGTGGTGTGAAGGTGGCTGTGCTGGCTAGGATGGTAGTGTTTTCTGAGCTTGTAGCTTATACCGGTGCTAGTGCAAACTGTTGGACGAAATGAGTGATAGGAATCCTTTTCACTGCTTGTTTGCATGATTCCTGGCACAAAGGGCATGCTGTCACAACACTGGCAGCATCATACTACTGGAATCAAAAGAATTAATTAAAAGGTTGAACTATAGGTTTCTTGGAGCACAGAGTATGCCTGGGTATCTTTGTGGGGAGCATTCCGACTTGCAACTCTGCTAACTGTAGTAGACAAGTATTAATGAAATAAAACACACCCATATGTTACTGTGCTTGCTAGATTTGGCAGGAAGATGGATCCTACCCATCAGAGCCTGTGTTTGTGCCAGTGCCTAATGCCATGGCAGAAGACAGTGGAGTCATCTTGTCTGTTGTGGTCTCCCCCACTGAGGTAAACTTATTGCTACTAGTCTGTCAAAGTCACATAGTATTAGGTATACTTTCCAAATGACAAAACTGAATTTGAGGCTCTCTGGCAGATTGTTTTAGCACTATGCTCCCCAAAGTGTGTGCCTCTGCAACTGCCAAGCACAGCCAGGCAAACTTCAAGCAGGACTGTACCTTGCAATGTCAGTGTTTCTTGAGTGGCATCTGTGCCTATCAGTGCTCCTGGCCAACTGTCTTACAGGTTTAGTCTGTATGGTCTGGTTGTACCTGACCATATGGCCTGGCTGTACATTTGGGCTCCCTTGTGGGCAACAGATGTAGTGGGTTGGAGAGTGGAATGATGTTCAGCCGGGGCACTCATTCTGGCTTTCTTTTCATCTTGCAGAACCAAAGTGCTTTTCTGCTTGTCTTGGATGCAGAGACCTTCAGGGAATTGGGGCGAGCAGAAGTCGCAGTGCAAATGCCTTATGGATTCCACGGCATCTTTACTTCCCACTGACTGAAGACCTTGTCACCTCCTGTAACTCAGGGTCAGGTCAGGCTCAGAAAGAAACCTCTGCTTTCTTTTACCTCCCACCTTCGCATTATGCCCTGGATGAAGAAACTGCCTTTTCTCTATCATAACCTCCGAGTTCCTGCTGTATTCCTAACAATACACAACAAAGGGTCTGAGGAAGGCAGAAGCCCCTTCACTCAAACAGCCCACCGCTTTATCTTATTTTTCTGACTATCTTGATAGACCAGTTAGCAGCAGTTGACAAACGCTGCCATGTGTAAGGCTTGCAAGGGAGAAAATGGAAACCAAGATGATCATTACCTTCCCTTGGTAGCAATGCGCTCTGAAGGAAAGAGAGTATTGGTGCTTAGGGCAGTGACTTTGGCTGAAATGTGTAAAGCAGAAGAGAGGAGTAAAACCAACCAGTAGCATGTAGGCCCAATGAAGGGATGTAATTTCACCCTACTGAATAAAGATTGCCTTCAGTGAACCCCAGAAAGTAGATGCACTCACAGAAACTGTACTTGTAGTGCTTTTCTCTGTAAACTAGCGGTGCCCTCAAATAAAACTTTGTGAAGTTTCTTCCTTTATTTCCGTGCCCTCACCAGACAAGATGTTGCACAAGATGCAACAGCTGTAACCCTGACACACACCTTATTATGTTATATGGTCTTGTAGACATGCATGACACGTCTCTACCATGCTCCTGCTTAAAGAGCATCACTGGATACAGCTCTGATGGCTAACATTTCTTGCCTTCCTCCTAATTCGATCAGTATGAAACATGTAGAACTCCATCATGGCCTTGATATCCCTTTGCTCTTAAGGTGAGCAGATCAAACTCAAACATGCTCTCATATGCTTGCTTCCTCGTCCAGGCTCCTACAGTTCTTGAACTCTGAGGTGTAGGTGGATAGGTGTGTTGAGGGAAGGAAGCCCTCTGTAGCAGTTCACTTGTGGGCTCTGCCTTTAAGCACACTGTGAACAGTGAAGGCTTCCATGAGAATGGTTTCACTTCCTGGGCTAAGGACTTTTTATATTGCTTCGTTGTGAGATGCCTGAAGAATGTTTTGAACCACTTCCTTGAGCAAAAATGAGCCCTTTGTGCCCTAGGGTTTGAAGGAAAGCCCTTGCTTCCTATTTACAAACTTGCTTTGTTGTTTTTCTTTTTTGACTCCTGATGTTCTGCTGGCCATCCCAGACAGAACAGAACCAAACCAGAGCTGACTCACTCTACCCAAACAACCCAGCTTTATCTCCTCTCTGACCTTTTTTCACCTTCCTTACAGGTCTTGGGTAAAGACAAGGGAGGGAAAGAAGGATTGTACACCAGGGCGGCAGCCCTGTGGGAAGGCAGAGGGAGAGGCTGATGCCAAAGCTGATGTCACAAAACCACTAGATGGCAAACACCTCCCGCTGCTGGGGCTCCAGCCCTGCCAACCGGCTGCTCTGCTGCAGCTGGCCCCTCTCCGTAACTCACCATGTGGAACTGCCCTGCCTCTGGTAGCCTGTCACCCACAGTGGGAGGGAAATCCCCCAGCAAGTTCACATCCCTAGGGCTGGAAGCTGAATGATGGATGCTAAGGAAGTGCCTAATGATAGCAGGTAGAGTTCTGTCACCACTGCGTCTCTTTTTTAAACTTTTCTTGGTGAGGTGGGAAGGGGAAAGGCGGTGTCAGAGTTTCACGTGCAACCCCGTGTTAATGGCAACCAGCCAGAGTGCCCAGCGCAGGGCTGTAGATCAATAGTGCAGGGGAAGAAAGATGCCCTGCAGTGCAAAGTCTGTGCTGTGTTTATAAAGCTGTACTTCAACGGCATGCAACCCTAGCCCCTGCCTGTATTGTGCGCACACACACTGTACTCCAGTACAGAACAGAGCTGTTCCTGTTATACAGAACTTGGAGGTCCTGTGCTGAGGCTTGGATCTGGCACTCTGATGAACTGACAGATACACTGCTATCCCTGGGGCACCAAGAATTTCCAGGAATTAAGGGAATATGCCGATGCAGTTACCTCCATTCAAACCCTTGCAGCACTGAGAACTCCAGGTTCCTCCCCCTCTCCCAAAACTTTCTGAAAATCACAACACTTCATGGATTTCTCTGCTTGAACTCCATGAGTGTTACTACCAGAGTGCACTCCAAGTCTGTCACATTCATAACCATCCCAGAGATCAAACTAGTTTGCCAGTATAGAAAGGGAATCAACAGGCCTGGCAGCCCTTCCTGTGACTGATGCGGGGAAGGACTGCCGTGTACACTTACTTTATATAAACCATCTCGAATCGGGCACATGACCAGGGAGCAGGGCATTCTCAAAGGTTTAACAATAGCTCGTCAGATACCACAGTGCCGTGGAGTGGACAGAGCTCAGTTATTTTAGGTGAGTAGGAATGAGATCCACGAAGTTTTCTCAGTCCCTTCAGGTGAGTATTGCTTTGTGAACCACTTCTCTTTGGATTGCTTTGTAAACGCCTTACAAGTGCATTCAGAGCCTGCCTGCTTTCCTTTGGCAGACCCACCCTGATGCATTTATAGACACACTTCTTCCAATTGTCATAATATAAGAAAACACAAGCAAGCCAAACTGTTGGCCCACAGGCCAAAACATTGCTGACATTACCTCTACAGGATAAATGAGAGGATGAAATGCCTTGAAAGAGGAATGTCAATGAAAAGACAAAAGGCAGGGTACACAAGTTTCAGGTCTCTGTTCTGGTTCCGCAATAAACCCCAGTCCTGCCCTGTAGAAAGCTCCTCTGCTGTCTGAGCTTGTTTTATTTCGCTGATTCACTTTTTTCAGTGCACATCTCAACTCATTCTGTCCCTGGGCCTCACATCCACCAGCCCAGCAGCCTAGATAATGCAAATAAAGAACTATGATGTAGTCAAGTCAGTTTTTGTGTATGTTCTCTAAAACAGAATTTGAACTAAGCTCAACAGCATCACTTCTCCCTGTACCATCATACCAAGCCCACTTGGACACAGATGAATAGCAGCTATTTGAACTGGAAAATGCAATGCATGTTTTTCAGACTCACATTCCATCCTTCAGGGCTGATCCTTCTCTCCCCTGGAAGTCCATGTAGAAATGCTTTAACAGCTGCTTCTTATCCTCATGGTGATTCCTATGATTCTGATTGCTGTTCTGAGAGCACTTCTGGTTTTCTGTATCACTCAGTGATTTAGTGAAAAGAGCTAGTAAACAGCTGGTGTAAAAAAGCATTTGCTAGAGCAGATCATACCGATGGCCCATTGGAGCTGCTGTCATACCTCTGCAATTGGTAGGGCTGACACAGTGGTTCTTAACAGCCTTTTTTATTTTCTCTCTGGCTCATACAAGATCACAGTATGTGTGCAGGAGTTCAACAAGGCAAGTGCAAGGTCCTGCACAGGGGTTGGGGCAATCCCAAGCACAAATGCAGGCTGGGTGGAGAACAGATTGAGAGCAGCCCTGAGGAGAAGGACTCAGGGGTGTTGGTTGAGGAGAAGCTCGACATCACCTGGCAATGTGCACTCGCAGCCCAGAAAGCCAACCATATCCTGGGCTGCATCAACAGAGGTGTGACCGGCAGGTCAAGGGAGGCAATTTTCCCAGTCTGCTCCACTCTTGTGAGACCCCACCTGGAGCACTGCCTTCAGCTCTGGGGTCTCCAGACAATATTTTCTAGGCTCCTTTCCATTTTCCATATTAGCATACAGGGGAGAGATCGTGCTTAAACGAGTTGGTTTAGCTTTTAGTAATGTTTTTGAATGTGTCTAAAAATCACACCGCCGCGATTGGCTCAGCGATGTGTTTCAGGCTTTGTTTTAAATGTCTGTCTGTTTGGGGTCAGATGAGGGTAGATTGAGATGAGAGCTAAGGAAGGAATTCCTCACCCTGAGGGTGCTGAGGCACCGGTGCAGGGTGCCCAGAGAAGCTGTGGATGCCCCATCCCTGGAAGTGCTCAAGGCCAGGTCGGACGGGGCTTTGGGCAGCCTGGTGTGGCGGAAGGTGTCCCAGCCCGTGGCAGGGGGGTTGGAACCGGGTGGCCTTTCGGGTCCCTTCCGACCCAAGCCATTCTGCGATGCTATGAGACGTTAGCTGGGGACAAGGAGGAGCAGCCGAGCTGTGGCAGTGAACGAAGCAGGCCTTTGGCTCACTCGCACGTCCGGGCAAGGCGAGGGCAGGCTCCCGCGCCCCGCACGCCGCGGCGGGCCGAAGGGAGACCCCTCCGCAGGGGAACAGTCCCCGGGGGCCGAGCCCT